TCACATGATTTAGAATTTAAATAAATTGAGAGCTACATGGTATTTATACCTTTTATTATCATTAAGAGCAGTTTCCATTTAATTCTCAACACGAATTTATGTAAAAATATAAAACCTGTGTACAAATATTTCAGGTTTCACAATGGCTACCATTTTTTAAATGTATAATTGGTAAGTTTTTCCTCTACGACATAATTGATAATTCATATTACGTCAATGGAAAAAAGAAAACAATAAAAATGTTGCATTTAACACAAAAATAATTACTATAAATAAGTATACAAAAATTCAGATACCCTAATCAGTATTATATAAATAGTTCATTTACGATATCCTGTGAAATATAATATCAATATATTAAAAATACACCATCCAATTAACTAAGAATAATCATCAAACACCATAACAATAATCTGATTATTTTTTTTTATCAACAATAACTATGGAATTGTGTCAGATAATTAATATGAGCCATAAATATTTTTCAAATCCGTTTACTTAATAGAGATTATCACGTCGGGCCACTGTCGAAAATATTAATAAAATTCAAACTAATCGTAAATTATATTAATATACAACAATATCAAATAATAAATTAATTTACCGGCATCATGCAACTACCTATCAGACAATATTTCCTAAGAGCCAACAGATTGAACCAATTAATTAGATGTTTAATGATAATTTGTGTGCTTAATGACGTGCTTAAGCCAACTAGCCTCGTTATTTAATTAAATCAACTGAAAAAAACAACAACAATTATTGATTTAGAATCTGAATCTCAACTAAGCGAGAATCTGATGAAAAGTCAAATGTTGTTGGTTCGTGTTTTGGCGTCACTTCTCCATCATCAGTGCCAGCAATTTATTTAAATAAATATGAAAATACTATTAATTTAACTATGCTGATGTAAATGTTTATTTTTTTCATTTTCTGATGTAAAATTATAACCTGAAATTCGAGTTTTTGCAGAATATATTCAAATATAGTTAATTTTCTAATAGCAGAAAGTCTTCTCTTTGGTCACGAATGATCGTTTTCTTTAGGATGTGACCAATTCCATCCACAAATTTCTCCTCCTTGTTTTTAAAATTCCCAACTTCTCTTTTTAAATTTTTTTTAAAAAAATATATATATATTTTTATACGAAGCGAATGGTATATTATCAATTTATAATAGAAATAGGTATATCGCGGTAATCGTTGATGATTTTTACTCTCGAAAAAATATACAATTATTTTATCGTTATTATTTATAGTAAGAGTTATATATATAGAAATTGATTATATTAAAATTTTTAAAAAATAAGAATATATCGAAACAAATAACAAAAATATAATAACATATTAATTTTAGTATTATATAAAATTTATCCATATTTTTATATAATTTTCTTAAAAATTTAAATTTTAGAAAAAAAAAACATGATTTCTTTATTTCACTAGATTTTAGAAAATTTTATAATTCGATCATTTCTATACAGAAAAATAAATATTTTTACTCATGAAACTAATAAAAAAAAACAAGAGAAATATAAGGACACGCGCTCCAAACCAAATTCCGATTCGGAAATGGGAAATGAAATCACGAGAAAATTGGAAAGTTTGCTCTATTTTTAGAGAATAATTCGTCAATTTCTGCGTTCGATATTGGCAAAAGCTTACAAAAATAACTACACAGAATAATAACGGCGTTTATAGATATTGGTTCACCTCTAAGGCTCTGTTTAAGCTGATCTGGACTCCCACAAATACTCACATATATATATATATATATATATGATCAACATATTATTTTACTCACGTATACACATACATATACATATATATAATTATATATTATTGTCAATGTCAAATATAACAAGTCTACTGTATGCACGCAATCAATGAAGGGTGTGCATATAATATGAATATGAAATTAAGGGAAAATTATGGTCAACTTTGCCCTTTGGAGGAGGTTTAGGCCATTATTACTCATTAATCATAGGCGCTTTATTTAGGCCCTAATCAAATTTGGCCTTAAATACTCTCATAAGGCTTCAATATTTTCAAATCATTATTTGCGTCTATAGAGCAAGACGTTTTTGTTATTTATTTTGTTAAATGCTCAAGTCCCCATCTTTTATTGCGTCAAATATCGATGTATTTGTACGGTTGATTGGAAAAGATGTTGTTAATTAGATAATAATCAGAGTTTATATAATATTAAAACTTATATATTATCTGTATTTTTATTTAACTTTATTTAAATTAATAATAATGGTTTTTATTTGCAGATCAATACGAGTAAAAGGGCATTATTTTTTTTTTTTTTTGGTTTAATAGTAAAAGGGCATTATATATACGGACTACATATATATGCATGCAAGTAACATAATTTCAGGTGTCCTATTAAAAGTATTGAAGATAAACGTACCACAAATCCCGTGTATGTGTTAGGTCCCTGTTATTTGCACACAATCTCTATTATTTACATAAAAACATGATAAATATTTAGAAGGAAATATACAAAACCAATTATATATAATATCATATGATTATGCATTACCAAAAAAATATCATATGATTATGACTCGAATCGATCATATTAAAGTCACATGCATACAACCCACAAAAACAAAAAAAAAAAGGTTGGCAGAACTGCTTTTTCCGATCCAAGCCTATGGTTTTAATTGGATCCGATACCAATCATTTCAGGTTTCTATCATATCCCCTTTTTTTTTTCTTTTGATGCTTGAAAGTGATTCTGACTCTAAATTACATAACATTTTAAAAATAATAGAGAAAAAAATATATAGAATTATTATATTTAGAAGATTTGTGTTTGCAAAGTAACCATTTCTATATTCGGATTGTTGCCAAATCATTATAGTCAATTACTAGGATAGAAAAAAAAAAATCGTATTTTCATATATCGATTGGACTCGTGGACCATGAGTTTGAGTTGCAGTTTTGAAACTTGAAATGTTGAATCTACAAATTCAAATTAAGATTTTAATCGGTGACTCGAGAATGCCCATATATATATATATATCTACTTGTATCTATCATCAGCTACTCATTCTATGGTGGATGGATGGCCAACACGTTTGGATAGTTGTGGAGTATCCAAAACTCGGATTCTAAATTCTAAACTTGGATTCAATAGCCTTTTAGATACCCATCCATACCCATTTTGCTATAATTGACGACGAAAATACATTAATTAATTGTTTTGTTTTTGTCACGCTAGTGCATAAAATAATTTAAAAGAAACTATACATCGTAATCGTCCATCCATAAAATGTGAGTGCGCATCTCTTGTAACGATAATATAAAACAAAAAAATATCAATCTTACAAATAAAAAAAAAACATGATGATTGTTTTTTTTCCCTTTTCAAGTATCTATTATAAAAAAAAAACATCGTATCTGCCAATGCTTTGATCTTTTAAAACGGTTTAAACAATGCGTATATATATATATATATATATCTTCTGTAATCAAACTATGATTCTTCACTCACAGAAGAACATGACGTAATCTATAGCAAGAATTTTGATGGTTATTACAGCAATATGCATGGATTCTTGTCTAAGGCTTCTGTTTCTGTAAATGTTGCCTAGGGCTTTCATTGATCATATCGAGTAAGTGCTAACGTGCAGTCCAAGCAATATCCAGATTTTGCGCTGTGAATGACGCAATCTCCATTATATACAAAAGAAAGCGTGGAAAACGTTAACATAATGACAGAAATACCCCTATATATATTATTATTGTATATAAACTCCTAAATTACCAAAACCTAAAGAATAAACCCTCGGCCTCTTATGTCGTAACACTGTGCAGAATATTCGCGTTGATCCATCACGGACCATCAGCAGGGGTGTAGGATGAGCCATGGCTAATAATCTGGCTCCGAACCAACGAGCCGGTTCGGATATTTTTGATCAAATAAATCATGGATTCTTGTCTAAGGCTTCTGTTTCTGTAAATGTTGCCTAGGGCTTTCATTGATCATATCGAGTAAGTGCTAACGTGCAGTCCAAGCAATATCCAGATTTTGCGCTGTGAATGACGCAATCTCCATTATATACAAAAGAAAGCGTGGAAAACGTTAACATAATGACAGAAATACCCCTATATATATTATTATTGTATATAAACTCCTAAATTACCAAAACCTAAAGAATAAACCCTCGGCCTCTTATGTCGTAACACTGTGCAGAATATTCGCGTTGATCCATCACGGACCATCAGCAGGGGTGTAGGATGAGCCATGGCTAATAATCTGGCTCCGAACCGACGAGCCGGTTCGGATATTTTTGATCTAGTTCAAAAAACGGGTTCACTGGGCCTGTCATGACGGGCCACGAGCCAATGCCCAACAAAAGTTGACGAGAAAGCTGATTCCGTACCCCGCCGGACAGGACAGCTGATTCGCGAGCCAACTTCGATTAAAAATCGTTGTTCGACATTTGTTGAATCCTTCTTAAAAAAACAGTCTAAATTCTTATTTATTTATCCAACGGCACGGGAAAAAAACACTGTTACGGTGAAAACGATGAACATTTCCAAATCTAGCATGTAAATAACTGATTAGTTAACATGCTTGTTCATTTCTTATCTGTCTCCGTTATTTGGTAAGGATATTTAGAATACAGTTATCCATTCTCCAACAATTTCCTCTCGTCTATATAATACAAACACGAGATGGAAGAAGGGTATCTCCAAGCAGTGACTGCAGGACAAGAACAGCCTCGACCCGTGTCCGAATATCCCCGAAAAAACGATGCGGACACCTTCTCTGATTTCCGGTAGAAATTCCGGGGCGAATGTTCTTATCCTCGTCGGTTTCGCACTGATCTTGAACGGTGCATTGATCCCTGCTTCCGGACTCGATGAAACCAGCAAGGTTCGTCCTTTTTCGCTTATCCGTGTGACCAAGAAAAAACCCGACGATTTTTTTGTTGTTGTGAGGCTGACAGAAGTCGTTTTCTCTTCTCGGATGGATAGATTCACATCGTCTACATGGGTGCAAGGCGGCACGAGGATCCTGATTTGGTCACGGCCTCACATCATCGCATTCTTGAATTGGTTTTCGGAAGGTTTGAATACTTTCGTTATATCGTAAAAGAAAAATCGTCGGACGATTCTTCGAAACGTTTTCTCTATGTACTAATCGTTTCCCTTTACGCTGCAGCAAAGACGCTGCTCGCAAGTCTATGATCTATAGTTACAGACATGGTTTTTCGGGTTTCGCTGCAACGCTCAACTCTTCTCAAGTGAAGATCCTTTCGGGTACTACTTCATCGTTCCTTCACTGATTCCGCATTCTTGATTCCATAAAACAGCTAACCGAAGCCGTATTCATATCGACCTTACGTTGTGACAGAGCATCCCGAGGTCGCTCACGTTGCACCGAACCGGATTCTGCAGTTGAAGACGACGAGAAGTTTCGAATACATGGGGCTTTTACCGAGTGCTCCTAAAGGCCTTCTCCAGGACACAAACATGGGAAGTGAAGCTATCATCGGAGTTCTTGATTCAGGTTTCTTTCTTTCTTTCTCTCTCGGTTTCTTGCCCGGTCTGAACCAAGAAACGATAGTTTAATAAGCTTTTCTTAAGCGAAAATATCCTAAAACTGGTATTTTTTAGCCCGATAAGGGTCTCGGGATATAGAGAATCATGAAAAGAACTGACTTTGAGAGTGGCTCGAAAACGTAACAGGAATATGGCCGGAGTCTGAGTCTTTTAACGACAAAGACGTCGGGCCAATCCCGAAACGTTGGAAAGGAGAATGCGTAGCGGGGCAAGGATTCGACCCAGAGAAACTATGCAACAGAAAGCTCATAGGGGCAAGGTACTACACCGAAGCTATCCTTAGACAGAACAATGGAACGTTCAACTATGCACAGAACAAGGAGTACGCATCCGCAAGAGACGGTTTGGCCCACGGGACCCACGTGGCCGCGACGGCTGCGGGCTCTTTTGTTCCCGGGGCGAGCTGGAAAGGACTTGCGGGCGGAACAGCGAGAGGAGGGGCCCCGAGATCGCGAGTAGCGGCCTACAAGGTGTGCTGGAACAGACAAGGGTGTCCAGGGTCAGATATGATCAAGGCTATAGACGACGCCATACGAGATGGCGTCGATGTTATATCGATTTCCATCGGGAATGCCATCCCGAACGACTTCGAAGTTGATCAAAATGATATCGGGATCGCCTCATTCCATGCGGTGATGAAGGGGATTCCCGTCGTTTGTGCGGCAGGGAACGAAGGACCTGACCCTCAAACCGTCGACAATGTCGCTCCCTGGATCATAACCGTCGCTGCTTCGTCGATGGACCGATCTTTCCCGGTTTCAGTCACGCTCGGAAACAATCTAACCATAACGGTGTGTATCCACATATATTTCTGTAATCTCTTCAAACACTCAACTCTCCAGAACTTGTTCTGATAATTTCATTGGCGAGTGAATGCTTTTCAGGCTCGAGGGGTGTACACAGGAAAGGAAGTCGGATTCGTCGATCTCGTTTTCGGAGGCGAACTTCAGGGATCGGATATCCGAGGAGGTTCCGTTAAGGGTAAAGTCGTGCTGTTCTTCACGGCGACCGAGAGGGCTAGAGAGAGGATGAGGCTGTTAATGATGAGCACTGGCGCCTGTGCCGGCATTATCATGGCCGAAAGCGTAGTTGATCCTACGCCTTGTAGGGATATGCCGTGCGTCGGTGTGGATTATGAACTCGGGACAGATATTCTGTATTACATCCAGACGACAGCGTAAGAATCTCGGATGAACGACAAAGTGTTTCTTCTATACACTCTCATTCTCATCATCAGTTCTGACATATTTGAGGCATTTGTTTTTGGATCTGCAGAAATCCAAAAGTCAAAATAAGCGCTTCGAAAACCGTCGTTGGCCGACCTATTGCGACTAAGATCCCGCAATTCTCGTGTCGAGGGCCTAATTCATTATCTCCGGCTATTCTCAAGCCTGATATAGCGGCGCCTGGTGTGAACATTCTGGCAGCGTCGACCGGTTCGAATCCTCGAACTTTCGACCTCATGACAGGAACATCGATGTCGACTCCTGCCGTGTCGGGAATCGTTGCACTTCTCAAAGTAAAACACCCTGATTGGTCTCCTGCTGCAATCAGATCCGCTCTTGTCACAACAGGTTCTTCTTCTTCTCTCTCTTTCTCTCTGATTCTGCTTCTTATCACCCAAGAAACCGCAAAAAACTGACACGTACTCGGTTCTCGAAGCCTGGAGAACCGATCCCTTCGGAGAGACAATCATGACGGAAGGAGCGTCCCCAAAACCCGCAGGCCCGTTCGATTTCGGAGGAGGAATCATGAACCCAGAGAGAGCAGCGTACCCAGGACTTGTCTACGACATGGGCTACGAAGACTACGTCCACTACTTGTGTTCTGCAGGGTACGACGACAAAGCCATCTCCGGACTTCTTGGAAAAGCTCACACTTGTCCGAATCCAAAGCCATCAATGCTCGATGTGAATCTACCTTCGATCACAGTTCCTGATCTCAGGGAAGATGTCGTAATCACAAGAACCGTCACAAACGTGGGCCCCGCAGATTCCGTATACAAGGCAGTGATCGAATCTCCTTCTGGGATCAATCTTGAGGTGAACCCACAATCATTGGTGTTCAATTCCGCGACCAAGAAGGTTACGTTCAAGGTTAAGGTTTCGAGCACTCACAAAGTGAACACTGAGTTCTACTTCGGAAGCTTGACTTGGACCGATGGAACTACCAATGTTACTATTCCGTTATCTGTCAGGACAAAGATTTGGAAGTATTCTGTCTGAAGATTCTTTCGTTGTATCTCTGATATACATACATACATACACCATTGTAATTTGATTTTTCAAATATCTAATCTTGTGCTTAATTGAGCATTGATTTTAAGAAAAAGAAGAGGACGAGGAAAGGTAACATTAATAGATACATTGCGACTTTCTGAAGGACAAAAAACCCAGAAACCAAATGTTTGATACTTCTGCTGATTCTTGACAAGAAAACACACACCACACCAAGAAGCAAAGGTGAAGCCTTTGAAGTTCACTGAAAAAAACAAAGTGAAGCTTTTTTTGAAGCGGCGCCTGTACAAATACAAGCTCAAAGATTTTGACTGGCAGAGAGATCATCGAGCCAGAGAGTAGTATATAGGCATGCCCTCTCGATCATTTGGCGGTTTTCGAGTGCTTGATGAGCCAGTCGATGACTGCGTCTATGTTTATCGACTCCTTGCACGAGATCATGTAGCAGCATACCTCTCTATCCGTGATGGATTCAAGGCCTCTGCAACCAAATCCAGATCATCAGTATTTTTCGTATTACTTCGAATGATTCTTGACAACAGTTTTGTCGGAAAGGTCGTTTACAAGGGTAGGACTGGTTGTCGGGTTTAGGGTTTAGAGTCTAGGGTCCGGATTTGGGCATGTAAAATCCAGACTTTTTGCGGGGTTCTATATCCATCCAAAATCCCGACTTTTTGGCAATATCAACGCACATGTTATCGGTTGAGCATTTTGCAAAACCACAAGCTGTAATCCTATACTTGACTAAAAGCATCTCAAGAATCAAGTTCACAAATGATAACATACTGAATTCCGTTCAGTTTCGATTCAGATCACGGTCACTTTACATGGCGACCCCTATGTCGATAGATTCTAACAGATTAACGCATTCAGATTTAGTCAAAACCGAAAGATTTCTCAATGGTGGATAGATTCTAATCAGGTTAGTACGAGTGACCAATGGAACTTACAGTTGATCCACCAAAGCTTGCTTAGAGAGAGCTTCTGACTTGTCAATTTTGTTGCCAAGAACAAGAAGAGGAATGC